TTTGGTCCGCTCCCGCTATTTTTACGAGCGAGACACTCGTGATGTGATACATATACATATATATGTAATACGGAATTTTCGCGCGCGGAATATATAGTTTTGCGGAAAATAAATCGAGAGAGAGAGAGAGAGAGAGAGAGAGAGAGAGAGAGAGAGAGAGAGAGAGAGACAGAAAGGATTGGGAAGCGGTGGGCAGAGATTCCGCGTTCTGCGCAGGCATAAACGGAAGAACGGAGGTATTATGTCACACTCCCACGCGAGCGACGGCCGTCGCTGCCGTCGCCGCTCCTGTTGCTGCTGCTGCGAGGCCCGACATCCTCGTCGTTTGACATTTCCGCGGGCGCGCAGCGCCTGACAGATCACGCGCGCCGCTACACTGTGTGCTCCTCGTTACGCTCCGGTGCATCTCGATACCGATCATCCTCCCGTAAGAGATTCCCGCGAGAAAAAGACATCTTCATCCCGTGTGTTTTTTCCAAGTGACACGCGATAAAAGAGAGTGGCTTCTTCTTAATCATCGTTAAAAAGACTCGCGTCAAAGATCGAATCGTCGGCTCCAGGGAGATCGGCATCGTGAGATCGGCGGACAACACATCGTTTAAAGGCCCTCTCGTGACAGGAAGAAGGCGAAAAAGGTAAAGATAGAACGAAAGTAGAGAGGAGGAAAAAAATCGGCGCGATTTCCACGATCGAAATTCGATCTGCACGCGCACAAGCGGTGTCGCGTATCGGTATGGCGCACGCGATACCGTCGTCGACGACGTATGGATGTGTCGACGACTCGTCTCGGCGCGGCGGATCGATCGCGACGCCGTGGTATGAAATCGGTAATGAGCTGTAAATCTCCGGCGTGTACGTCGAACCGCGTATATATGCGGGTGAGTCACACGTCACAGATACACGTGCGCGCACACGCACACATATATGTATACACACATACGTATGTATATATAACGCACATAATGTACGTGGACGTACACCTTCTCCTCGGTATTCTTTTCCCTTCGGTAGAGAAAATCGAAGGAAAGGATAATAAGCGAGAAATATACTCTCTCTTACCCGCCGGCCGGTTCCGTGGTTGGCCGCGCGCGCGTGGGCGTAAACAAGAGAGAGAGAGAGAGAGAGAGAGAGAGATCGGTAAGGACGGAGAAAAGAGGCAGAGGCGATTTTCTGAAAAATCCACGGTGAAACGTTCGTTAACGTTCGGTTTAGACGGCACATAACTATCCGCGTGCCGTCCATTGCCCGCGGCAGATAATCCTGTTTCCGATCGAGTAATCGATTCGACTCGACGAAAATCGATCGTCGTTTGAATACGATCGGGAAGCGTATTAAAATTCGTTTCCATCGAGAATACGCGTGATTTCATTCGCGTTTTGTTTTTCAACCAAGATATCGAGATATTTATAATATTATGCGGCGATTTATATTACATTTTCCAATAACTTAACGAGCATATTAAAGAGCGGTTAATTTTCGCGATCGCGCGTGCGATATTCGACGTTTGAATCAGCTGACGAAGCGGAAACGGTCTCTCTCTCTCTCTCTCTCTTTCTCTCGCGTCACGATTACGAATGACTTCTGAAAATTCGCGATAGAATATCTTATGCACGCGATCGATGCGCGGTATCGTTTTACAACGCGACTTAAGATCGAGAGACGGCATCACGCTATTCTCAATTATGCTAATAATAATAGTTTCTTCTAATGCTAATGCATGCAGGAATTCGACAATTATTGCTGCAAACTTCGTTTTGAAATCACACGAGAGATAATGCTCCGAAAAATTAACTTGAAAAAAAGATCTAACGTACGTCTATGTTTTTTTCTCTTTGTTTAAATGGAATTTATTTTTACGCATCAGTGCATTCTCGTTTTCAACATAAACTAAAGATAATTTCTCAGTAAATAATCCGATATTCATTATAATAATATAATTTTATAGATCTGTTTTGATCGAACTTTCAGTTCATAATTCGATATTAATTATAATAATACCTACACTAAAAACAAATTTTCAACTCAATATTAATTTGTTATTGAACACATATAGAAATATTTAAATTAATTCTAACAAAACGTATATATATATATATATATATATTTGACTTAAATATTAATATATCTTCAGTTAACAAAATAATAATTTAGTTGAAAGGTTTAGTCAAATGAACAATATTTTTTCCTCAATGTAGATAATAATTTGGACCATTAATTCTCGCAAGAATTCTCCTTCGTAACTTTATAAATTAGAATTGACAAGTGTGGGGGACAGCGAGAAGCCGACGATTTTCGAATTTTTCGCGCAGAAACGTCGAGATCGTTCATTATGGCGGCATTAGAAAGTAACGGGGCGCGTATATAGCAATATTGATTTATACCTCGTCGATTTATCGAAAGATATACTTATAATGCGTGTCTCATCGGGGGACGAGCGCGCTCATTAAAAGAACGAACCCTGTCACGATATTACTCGCGATCGAAATATACATACGCACGCCGATACTCGGAGTATTACGTAGAGAAGAATGATGGAGGCGCAACACAGAGGTCTCGCGCGCGCGCGAACGAAAACAAACTCTTAGGTGGTGGAGGCAGGGCGCACAGAATCGTGCAGTAATAATAAAGTTTTCGATTGAAAAGGCGCGACGCGCATTCCTCCGTCTACCTTCGTGACATCGGCATCCTCGGCATACGCGACGGTCGTATCGATCTGCCATTGTGATTATTATCGCGTTATATGCGTACGTCTCGCCGCGTGCGTATATGTATATAAATGTGTGTGTGTATACGTGTTTGTATCTGTGAACGCGAGGATTGAGACCTCTCCGAAGAGAGACGTGTTATGCCTTTCCTCGTGATTTTCATCGCTTTGTATGTAGAATATACTCCTTTTTCTTTTTTTCATTATTTTCCTTCGTGCGATTTAGTTTTTTCCGTTTTTAATTATGAGCGTCCGCAGAGTTTTTTCCTGAGGAGGGGCATGATAAAAATATTTTTGGTTTCTTCCTTAATTTTTAAAATTCTTATTTCGATATTGTTATATTAAGTGAAATTGCAAATAAATTCCAGTATTTATTCACAAGGAGAGCAAATGTTTAATTTTTTATTACTTTGTTATTTTGATATTTTTGTATTAAATAAAATTGCAAATAAATTCCAGCGTTTATTCACAAGGGGAGCAAATGCTTAATTTTTTTTACCGATTCTAAATTTCAATGGGAGGGAGGCGATGCCATGAGTCTAATTAAACGCCGCATCGAAGTGCGCTCTACGAATCTCTCCCTCTTCGGGAGATATTCCGGGAAAGTCTCCGATTACGTTTTGTGTGCGTCGAGGAGAGATTCCGCGTAAACTTACGTGCACGTAATCGCGTACTACGTAATCGGATAATCGCGAACGAGTCGCACGCAAGGATCGGGTTTCGTAGGTTTCGGCTTTTCTATCCTACATCGCGGGCCTCGTCGTTATGCATTCGTAACATTCCGCGCTTAATTGCCATTCGATTCGCGTACACCGGCGAAACGTCGCGGGTGTTTTACCAGCCCAGTTATTTACTGGCGATTAATCCGATCTATATTATATACGATATCGCGGCGCGATTAAACGCTCCGATCGCTTTAACCAGCTGGGATATAACGCGGTGTCCTAACTCGCGCGGTGGTCGAGACGATCAATTTCGTCGGGAAAATTATAAACAGCGAAATTGTTTCTTCTCCCTCTTTTTTATTTTGTTTTTTTTTTTCTTTTCTTTTTTTACGTTGCGAGTCGAATTTAAATTTAAATTTAAATTAAATAGATATCGCGCCGTTTCGCATCGTAGTTTTAATTAGGAAAATTGAGCATTCGATGCTTATTTTCGGGATTCTTTTAAACTTTTTTTTATCGTGATTCTGTCAACATAAAATATATTAATTGATATATTTTCTGAATTTTAATGGGGCTGATAAAGAACTGATAAATAATGCTGGTTGACATAATGGAAAAGTTTCGCTCGAGCGGAAAATCAAAGTATTAGTTGTTCAATCAGTATAATTTTAATTATATATTAAAGGTTTTAATTATATTTTATATACTATATTTGTGATATATGATGTATTGAATTTGCACTGTTTATAATATATTTTTTTAATAATTAAATATCTCGGATAATTCTCAACACGACATCGACGTCCCTTCGATCCGCATTTTATAAATTCCTGCCTTTCAATCTTTTTCTCAATCACGGGCGAGAAAAAACGCGATTCGACGATATTAATTTTTGCGCGATGGAAACTCGCGAATGATTATAGTCATTTTCGTAAGATATCCTTACGACGGCTATTAACCGACGGAATCGAGTAGAAGTCGATCGAGATATCCAGATGCCGATCGCTATCCGACGTGACTTTTCGAGCCCTTCGATTATGTGAGCTCCTTCCCCCTCTTTAATCTGTTTACGGTCGGAAATTAAATTAAAACACTTTTATTAAAACCACAATATTATCCTGCATGTAGATCGAGAAGGGTAAAAGGGAAAATTATATAATCGCGGAATTTAATCGCTCAAAGCGCGAGATTTGACAGCTGTTGCAAAACCTGCATCTAAAAACAAATTAAAATTTAATTAAATATATATATATATATATTATATATCAAGTAAATAAATATATATATATTTAATTAAATATTTAATATATATATTTAATAAAAAATATATATATTTATGAAGTAAATATATTTCGAATCAAATTACATATTCATAAAAATTGTAAAAAAAAATCCTCTCGGCGATAATAATTATTTCTCGTCTCATTATCGTCGGGAAAAATTGTCACGTGTCTCGTTTCGTTCACCCGACGGCGAAAATAATTCTCGTTATTTAAATTCATCGACGGTCATCGACATGCGAGTCGCGCGTCTCTCCTTTTAACAACCCGCCTTCATCGATCATCCGTCTAAATACGTATGTACACGTCATTAATACTCAAGTAAATGAATCTATTTTCCATGATTAACAGGCGACTCGCGTGCGGATGGAGGATCGCGCTGGGAGCTAAACGGACGATTTCGCGCTGCCAGCCGGACAGGACAGGACGATGTCATTGTCATTGAGTGTCGCGTTTCCTTATACGTTGATACGAGAGTGCGAGTGAATTACGAAGACAGAAGGGGGTGGAAGGGGCGAGAAGAGTGGCAGAAAACCGAGGGACCAAGAGAGGGAGAAAAGAGTGCATCAAATGCGTGTGAGATGGATGATACGCCAAAGAAAAGCGAAGCAGTGCTAATATATGGATGCCCATGGGTGGAACTTGGCCGAAATGTGCCAGCGTTACCATCACGCTATTCCGGCAGCGGCGGCGGCGCAGAATTCCTCGCCAGCTAGGGATCCTGCCATCGTCCAAGGCCTGTCAACAGCCCCCCATATCGATCAAGCCAGTCCGTCTTACTCTCACTACACGTAAGTCAAAATCTCTTCCTTCTTTTCTTTTCTTTTTTTTCTTTTTTTAACCCCTTTTTTAAAACCACAATATTATCCTGCATGTAGATCGAGAAGGGTAAAAGGGAAAATTATATAATCGTGGAATTTAATCGTTCAAAGCGCGAGATTTGGCAGCTGTTGCAAAACCTGCATCTAAAAACAAATTAAAATTTAATTAAATATATATATATATATATATATTATATATTAAGTAAATATATATATCAGCATGGATGTCCGCAGGAGGGAACAAAAGGGGCATTTGGCCTCCTTCGAATTATTAAGAATTTGCTCTCTTTTTGATTAAATACTAGAATTTATTTGCATATTTAATATGAGAAAAATGATAAGAAAATTATATTAGAGTCATGGGGAGTCTGTAGGAGGGTGGGGGCATTTGCCCCCCTTAGAATCAATTAAAAAATTAAGTATCTGTACTCCTTTTGAATGAACATGGACATTTTTTTGCATATTTAATATAAAAAATTGAATTTATAAAAATTAAGAAAGAACAAAAAATAAGAAACAAATAAAATTTAATCATGGCCCCCTCTTATCTCTGGAAAGAATCTGCAGACGCTCACGTTTGTCAGCAATCTGGGTCTTTTAAGGCACAAGCAAATTTCCATTCTTTCCCAAATTACTGTTTAAATTTCACCTTGTATAAACAATCGGGTATAATATTTATTAGATATTGAAATAGAGATATTAACAAATAATCGAGAATTTTTCTGGATTTGTTGAAAGTCTAGAACTTAAAAACAAAGAATCCAGTTTGCTGACGGAGAGTTAATCTCATATTTATATTTTATGAAGCGCCAAGATCTCTCTACACGGAGAGAATTTTCTCTTAGATTTTTCAGAACCCTGAAAATTATGGTAATCGTGAGACAATATATTGGAAGAATTTTTTATAAGAGTTTTTCTGATCAATATTTATCCCAATAAAAAAATTAATATGTACACAGTAAAATTAATCAAACATAATTTTTGCATATTTAATTTTTGCATCTTATTATGGCATATATATATTAATATTTTCTATTGTGTGCAAAAATATTAATCATGATTTTCAGGGTAAAAATTTTGAAAGAAAATTCTCTATACTTTTCGCGCGAGCGAAAATTCGAATCGGAAGAAGGCCGAGACTCTTTCACCCGAAAAAATTGTATTCTAAGCGCCACGAGGATCCTCTTAATTTAAGATGATATTCTTAATTTATTCTTATATTTTCAGAAAAAAATATACTGAAATTTAGAGAAATCTCTTAAATTAAGGATCCTCTTGGTGCTTAGAATACAAAACTTTTTCGGTGTTAACGACGTGCCCGAATTTCGGCGCGCGTGGCCCAAACCCCGACGATGATATCGCGAGCGTTATCACGGGTCCTTCCTCTCTCTCAATTGTATCGCGTATATATTAATAACGATACGGCGAATTAGGGATAAGTATACGACCGCGCGGTCAGGCCTCCCCGGTAATCCTGTTATTAGCGCGGCGATTAGGGGAAGATGATCCCCGGGCAAATTGTAGGGGCGTGTACCGCGCGTGTTTGGTTAACATAATCGCCGATCCGCGAGAGTCTCTCGAGAAGATATACACATATATATATATATATATATATGTATACCATATATATACATATATGTATAAGGACGTTTCTCTCACCCCCGAGAAGCCCCATCTCGCTCGCGCGTCTCGTTTCCCTCCTTTTTAAATTTTCTTCAGTCTTCTCCTCTCACCCCACCCCTTCTTCTCCACCCCCGCGCACCCCCACATGTGTCTTGGTGTGTTGAAAATCCATTAAATTGCAGTTTACGCTCGAGATTCAATGTTTCACTATTATTATGTCGTACGAGGGCAAAGAGGATAAAAGTGGTGTTCTCCCTTACTTTCTCTCTCTCTCTCTCTCTCTCTCTCTCTCTCCCTCGATCCTTTGGGAGGACTGTTAAGGAGGAGGTTGAGAAAATAGCATGCGCACTGCTGGCATGCGTTTCTAACGTATCGTATAATTTCAGCTATTTCTTATCTCGTTTGCTCGCAGTCTTATTTGCTTGTGTCTTCTTAAGCCACACGTATTTGCGAGATGCTGCGAAGATTTTATATTCAATGTGTTCTTCATTTTTTACGCTCGCGCGTCTGTAAAAAAAAATCACCGAGATATTTGACAAAAGGAGCGCAACAGAAAAAAAGTTAAAAATATCGCATTAATTTGATATGCAATTCGGACCTCTGTTTATGCGTCGCGCGTGGCTAGAAAGGATAATAGATAATTCTTTTTTTCGTCCGCGGTGTTTCCTGACGACGAAAATCAGCTTCATTAAAATTGTTCCGCCCATTTATTCCCATTTTGTCGCTGCCAGCCGTCGCACGGATCGCGTACCACGTCACGTTATTTCATACGCACGCACGCACGCACGTTGGACATAATTCCGGCAGATTTTATTCGAAACTCTGGCAAAAAGGTTGCAGAAATTTTTAACGTGTAATTTACTTCTAAATTCACGAAAAAAATATTAATCGCCTGGCTGTTCCTATATATTATACTTGAAATTTAATTACCGTGCCTAAAATTTAGCTATGCACAGAGAGAATTTTCTCTTAGTACTTATCCCGAAAATTGTGATAATCAATAGGAGAGTATTGGAAGAATTTTATATTTCTCTGATTAATATATTTTTATCACGATAAAAAAAAATATTAATATCTAAGTACCACAAGAAGATATAAAATATGTTCGATTAATTTTACTATGTACATATTAATAATCTTTATTGTGATATGAAATATTAATCAGAGAAACTCTTATAAAATTCTTCTAATACTATATTGTCCTACGATTATTATAATTTTCAGGATAAATTCTAAAAGAAAATTCTCTCTGTGTGATGACTAATATTTCGTTTCCGTGAGCATTAATTTTTTTATCGAAATCTTCATAAGATATATAATATAAAGTTTGAATGAATTTTTAATTAGAAACATTTTTAAATGTGTCTTTTTCCTTTTATAATGTATCTTTGGGTGGTCGGTGAATTTACGATGACACGAAGATAATAACGCTGTAATAATTCCAATACGTACTCGATCGATTCTCGTATTAATTGAGATAGAATAAAAATCTTCACTCGAATATATCGAGAGACGAGGATCTCTTTTTCATCCGATATTAATCGTTTTCATCTGCGGCTCTCGGAAACAATTAATTTCCATCGCATCAGCGGGGATTTTCTTTCTCATTTTAACCAAGAAAAAAAAATATATATATATATAAATATCGGTCGTCGATTAAAAATATTAGTTACACGTATTCACACACTTGTTTGAAGTATCTTGACGCTACGTGCCGCGGCATTTTAATTTGACGTTTCGCGCAAAGGCAAATTATCGCACGCGAGCATAACTTTTGTTCTCTCGCGTGATAAGAATTAATATCTCGACGCGGTTGTCGCGCTTACTCGAGGCGCTCGGAGGCTCAATTTGCAAACATCGATTACATATATATATCGATAGGAACGTCAATAATTCCGCGAACGACATGTTACACCGTCCCCGGGGGTCTCCGGTTTTTCTCGGTACTCGGCGACTCGAGCTGGAAAAATAATAAGTCCTCCTCGAAAAACGCGTCGTCGTATCTCATCATGCTCTTACGGACGGCTTGATGGATCGATATTTCGGTGCGGGATTTTTCAACTTTTTGCTACGCCGTTACGTCGGAATACGAAATCGAAGAAGAAGCCGCTTGTTATGGAGCGATGACGTCGCGCTTGACCCCTGGCATGATGCGTGTCGTCGACGACCTTGTAATTTCTACGATCGCGGTGACTCAGATCGGTGACTTGACGATTAAGCAATGACTGGCAGTTAATTACGGATTAACTGTCGGTTATAGTTATTTCGACGATTTAAATATAGGCACTCGGCAACAATTTCGCGGGATACATTTATCGGTGTTTGCTGCGAAAGACGTTTTGCGTGCATGTGTGATTTCACGATTTTTCATCTATATTAATGAAGATTTTCTTTCGATTCAGATATCTGTTTTTCTTCGAAATGATATCGTTATCCTTTTTGTGTCCAATACGTAGAAGAAAATTGCGAGATAATGAACTTATTATTTGCATTGTAAACGTGGATTGCTGCAATTAATGTAAAGCTATGTCCTCACTGGACCGACAACGAGCAACTTTTTCTTGCTAAACGTTTCAAAATAATTCGACATGTGTCAACTTGCGACAACATTTTGTCCATACCAGGAATATTTGAGTTTTGTTTCTATTTCCGTTTTAACCGCGACTGTGTCATTGAAAATTGAAGATCCTCCCTGAAGGAACATTTCTTCCTTTATTGACGCGTGTTTAATTTTTCTTTTATGTTTACCGCTTCAAATGGAAACACGCAACAAGTGACAACTTTTATTGCTGGCAACAGAAACAGTAAGGAACTTTAAGAAACTTTCAGCAACAGCTAGCAACTTTTTAAAGAAACATCAACAAAAAGTTGCTCGTTGTTGCTTTAGTGAGGACGCAGCTTATTAAGAAAGTTTCAGCAACAGCTAGCAACTTTTTTAAGAAACATGGAACATTAACAAAAAATTGCTTGTTGATGCTCCAGTGAAGATGCAGCTTAAGAAACATTCAGCAACAGCTAGCATTTTTTTTTTTTAAACATGGAACATCAACAAAAAGTTGCTCGTTGTTGCTGCAGTGAAGACAATTTAAGAAACTTTTAGCAACAGCTAGCAACTTTTTAAAGAAACATCAACAAAAAGTTGCTGGTTGTTGTTCTAGTGAGGACGCAGCTTATTAAGAAAGTTTCAGCAACAGCTAGCAACTTTTTTAAGAAACATGGAACATTAACAAAAAATTACTCGTTGATGCTCCAGTGAAGATGCAGCTTAAGAAACTTTCAGCAACAATTAGCAACTTTTTTAAAAAATATGAAACATTAACAAAAAGTTGCTCGTTGTTGCTGCAGTG